GTGTTAAGGGCGCCAATACTTCTTGCGCCGGCCTTGTGTACCAGTTGTACCTAGTTGATTTTTAATAAATAATGTTGTATCCATATTATATGTTAGTCTTGTTTATAACATTTCTAAAAAAAAAATATGTACAAATATTCAAAAAGTAACCAATAAGAATTAATTATAAATGATTTTATAAATGTTTAAAAATGTATTATTTAATAAAATTGACATGTCTCTTATTTAGTCAATATTGAACTTAGAGCCATTGTTGATACATGAAAATTACTTTAAAAAAATAGACCTATCCGAATATGGTGTTCAAAATAGGTATTGCTATTAAAAAAAAAAGTTTTTACTGTGCACGCGCAGACTAAATTCTCGAAAAATTTTGAAATGTATCAAAAAATGTGTATTCATATACCACCTGTTTGTAAAAAAAAATCGATTCATTTCAAAAAAATCCGGCCGAGAAATTCAGTGTTCCCTAAATTGGTGAACACTGTATATATATATAATATTAATATTTTTACTATGTATATATAGTTTTATGTTATTTTATAATATAGTATTTTGTCTTTTGTTTGATAAAATAGGGTCTTGAGGAAGTGCAAATGTATCGTGCGACATTGTTTAACTTGAATTCTGAACCAGAAGAAGATGGAGAAAATCAAAAAAAAGAGGGCGATTGTGTGTTCTTACAACAGTGTACAAATGATGTAATGAATACATCAGAAGAAACTATTACTAAAATAAAAGCTGAGCCAATTTATGAAGCTGAAGAAAACCCATGGTCGGAAATAAAAACAGAACCATCTGAGAGATACTCAGATTCGATGGAAATCTCTACTAACATCAATTTAACTAATCTTGAAGAAAATGATTCGGAAAATAGAAGAATGGTTCTACAAGAGAATGCAGAAGGAGTTGATGTGGCGTATGATAGGAATGCACCCAGACCTTTATATTTAAAACTAAAAAGAAAGTACACTAGAGCCTATGGATCTGAGGCTGGACTGAATTTAATAATCTTTGAACGGTGTGATAAACCAGAAGAAATGTATGGGATACCAGATACAGAACTACCACCTAATGTAGGTGTTGTCGAAATATCACTTGATCCATTCGTAGATGATATTGAAGAATCTATAGTTTTGGGAATGGAACACTCCTCTTACATCAACAGACTCATACATTTTGTAAGATTAGAACCAGAAGAAACTCCCTCTTCAATTGATAGATTAACTGTCCCGATAGATAATAATTATGAGGGCCTTCAAAGTTTAAATGAAGGAGTTATAGATTTAATAAACGAAGATGATAATGAACTGCATT